TCTTCCCATAGTTGTTTTTTAAGAGAGTTGTTGTATCCCCTAACATTATGAGTTACAATGTTAAGAGAGAGTGAGTTATTAGTATTGTTAGTATTAGTATTAGTTGTTGTTTGTAAATTAGCATTATTTAAAAAGTTTGTTAGTAGATTAGTAATATTTAAATTATCATCGAAATTAGGAATAGTTAGGTTTGTGAATATTCTAAGAGGAGTGTTATAGTATTAGAAGAGGGTGAAAAGATTAAGTAGTGTATGATCTGAGAGAATATTGTCATTACAAGGAAGATATATATGAGCTTCATTGAGTTGTTTGTTAATAGAAAATCTTGTAGGTTTAGTAAATTTTTTCTCTTTTAGGTATTTTATAAATGATCTAATAGTTTGATCAGTTTTTAGTAGATCCATATTATAAAATTTTAGAAATATGTTATAGCAAGTTAGTGCTTCAAAAGGTTCTAAGGATATTGGAATTGGAAGTACTAGAAGGTCTTCTATATATGCGCTCGCTGTATGCTTAGTTTTCATAGCTGTGCTGAACTCAAAAGTCTGCTCTGTGTGTTGAGTCTAACTATCATTTATTTGAGTTGCCATGTTTTAACATATTCTTGATAACTTATATAACTTATATATAATATATAAAAAACTTGCATGAATAGTATATTTTTATATATACTACACACTTGATGTACTTTTTTGATATCTATTTTAATAGCTATTTAGCTTTCTATTACTAAGGAGTATACTCTCTAAGGATATACAACGTAGTTGCAGAGTGAAGTAGAACATAGTTATCATATTTGATTTCTATTTAGTTTTTTGTACTGAAGGAGCATAGCGACTCTGAATGTGAAGCATAGCATAGTATTAGTTATCTATTTAATTCACAATTAGTTTCTTAACACTAAGGAGTATACACCTTAGATATGAGTGACACAGTTGCAGAGCAAGCAGAGCATAGTAATCTTTTATTTAAACAAAAGATCTGGTATATTAATTAAAAATACTGAAAAAACATATTACTATAGCTAAGATACTTAAATGTCTAGATTGTGATTGAGTAATAAAAACTGGTAAAACTCGAGATCTTAATAAACACATAAATTTAAATAGAAACTTTCATAAAGGACAATGCTAACTAGCTTTGCTTATAATGCAAAATGTAGGAAACATTACTCCAGAGCAAAATACACCTCAAACTGAAAATATTATTCTATAGCAAAATCTGCTAGCAACTCCTAAAGGTAATCTCATATCATTTGATGAAAACCTACTAACACTTCAGCTGAGAGAAGCAAATACACTAGCAGTTGATTCCTAGATAAGAGAATCAGAAATAAGTCAAAGACTCAAAGCTCAACATCTTCGATACTCTGCATCATCTAGTTCAAAGCAAAATAGCATAAGTTACCAAGATAAAACTATCTTAATTCATAAAAATATGGCAAATAGATTTGAGTTTTATGATAAGAAAAGAAAATGGTATGGAGTTAAAGAAGATTTTTGTGTATTACATAACAAATATTATTTTATTAAAGCAAATAATAGAGAACAATTATAGAAGCATACAAAAGAATTAATGATGAGTCTGAAGCTATTGCTAAAAAAACTAATGGTAGAATTGATATGCATAAATCTGGAAATTATACATTAACAACTATAAAATTTTTCAAAGAAACCACTTTAGCACCCCAAAAAAGTGAAAAAATAAGTGAACAAGAAAGTGCATAGATAGATTTAGCAACAACTGGTACTCTAATATTTGCAAAAAGATATGAAGAAAAAGCTAATCAATATGATGTAAATTCAATGTATATATTTGAAATGATAAAAAAAGATGTATTATGGCCAATTGTATCAGGTAAGTTTCATACTATAAACTTATCTTTTACAGAAAAATGGAGTAAATTTCCATATAGGATTTATAAAGCAACAATAGAAAGAAATTCTTCAAAGAAAAGCCTTCAATGTATAAGATATTTGCAATATAATTCACATAGAATTTACATACATTATGATTTAGAATATACTAAGGAGAATGGTCTAAAAGTATATTTAATGAATAAATCATCAAATGCATTTATATATGCAAAAAATACTCATATTAATGAAAGTAATATGTTTGGTAAATAGGAAAATATATTATACAATATTAAAAAAGAAAGTAGAATAGCAAGAAAAGTAAGTAAAGCATTATTAGTTTCATTATGAGGTGCCTTATATGAACAAAGAAATGGACAAAATTATAGAGCACATCCATGAATAAAACTCTTCTTGCTAGTATCAGCTCGAAAGACAATATTAGAAATTGTAAAACCTTTAGAAAACTAGATAAAACATATACATACAGATAGCTTTATTGTAGCTGGAAAAGTAGAGCTTAAAACAGGAATAGAAATAGGTAACTTAAAATTCAAGAAAAGAGGAATTTGTATAGTAAAAAATTGTATAAGTATTATATAGAAGCCACCTTATCCAGAAATCCCAAATTAACTAACAAAAAATATTGAATCAGACTTCAAACAAATACAAAAAGATAAAAAGCAGAACTCGAAGTTGATGCAGATTATAACTAAAAAAATAGATATAAATCTTCCAAACAAAATTATAATAGAAATATTCTAATATTTACGAATACAAAATAATAGATTAGACACGAAGTGTCCTGTTTTACAGTATGCTAATAATGAATTATTGTTTCTAGTTTTATATATTAATAAATAATGAAATGAATATACAACATATTTAATATAGAAAAGAATTACATTATATAGATACAATATTAGAAATTTTGTTAATTTAATAAAAAAAAAACCATTACCAAATCCAATAAATTATATAAGACAAATAGAATTCAAAAGAATAGACAATTACTATAATATGAATGAATTCCTACTAGAAGATATTATAAAAATATGTCAAGATATTATTATTTTATTATTTAAGGATTGTGGTTGGGGATTACTTAACAATAACTTATTAAAGATAACATTGGATATATATAAAAATTTAAGACATATATTTATTTATGGAAGTAATTAAATAGCACCAAAAACAATCTTAAGTATACCACAAAAATATGCAAATATAAAAACTATAAAAATACAAAATTGTGATGAATAACAAATGAAATAATAGATCAGATAGCAAGCAAATATCTAAAAATTATAATTAATGAAAAGAATATATCTACCAATTCATTTATTGATAGAAAAATAATCTAACTTTTTATAATTTTATTATTTATTAGTAAGAAGCATCTGAGTATATATTTTTTATGTATCTATGACACTAACTCCACTATTAAATAATAAAACTCATATTAAATAAAACTTATATAAAACAAAATACGAAGTAAGTATAAACCAAGTATGATAGACAATAGTTCAAGTTTAATAAATGAGCAGAACTCAGAGTTAATGATACAAGATATTACATGGAAAATGATTGAATCAGCACAAATCAAAATAATAAAAGAGGCTTTTTGTCTTCGATATAGAAAAAATAGTAAACTTATTAGT